TGTTGGCCTACATTTCACTTTTGTAGGAACACACACACACACACACACACACACACACACACACACACACACACACACACACACACACTGGAGAGTTATAACTTTTAAAAATCAAGTACAGGAAATAAATGTTTGGTTATGTTCGACGTTATTTAAAATGAGGATCTTCAGTTCCATAAGACATACTGAGTTCTGGTGCTCCTACAGACGAGCTTTGGGTTAAGAGGCGGTGGAAGGGGGTGAGTAGGAGGGGAAGGGGAGTGAGGAAAGTGGGGGTGAGTAGGAGGAAGAGGGTGATGAAAGGTGGGGGTTGAGTGGGGAGGGGAAGGGGTGAGTAGGAGGGGGAAGGGGGTGTTGAGTATTAGGAGGGGGAAGGGGTGAGGAAGAGTGGGGGTGAGTAGGAGGGGAAGGATTGAGGAAGAGTGGGGGGGTGAGTAGGGGGAAGGGGTAGGCAGAAAAGGGGACGATCGTAGGTAGGTTGGAGAGTCTCAAACCAAGATATCTGAACAGTGTACATCGACTCACACCGTTGAATTTAAAGACCTAAAAATATATATTAAAAATCCATTCACTATATATTTGTAGACTTGGATCTATAATACAACAAATACATAACACTGTTTTAAGTGATTTCGTTCTGTAGGTGTTTGGTTGGCATGACTACAGGAGGGTTATCGCTCTCTCCTGAAGTAACTATGAAGAACCGGGTGTTAAGTCTCTCAACTACGTCAGATTGTTTTCCTGTTTCGGTATACAATAAATAATGTTCGTATATTGTCCTTGATGTCACCTGTAGCATTTCCCATACCTGTGTCTGTCAGCTGATCGATTGGGGGAGTTTTACTCTGTGGTAGTATTAGGTTATGTTGACTCATTCACACACTTGTGGCTCTCACCTGTTTGATTGGTGTTATTTTATTGCGAATTATTACAGGTTAATTCAGTCATACACCTTGTAACTCACCTGTGTTTATTTGTTTGTTTGTTTTTTGTTATCCGTTAAATACGCATGACAGCAACACCATGTCATGCGTTATTCTTGAGGTGACCCAGTACAGGTGTGCCCAGAGCCAAGGTCAACGAGAGTATTCCCGGGAATTCCCTTTGCCTCCCCACGAGGTCATCATAACGCCGTCACGACACCCGGACCTGGGAGGTGGGGAGACAGACAAAGAAAGAGGGAAGGAGTGGGAGAGACGGGAAGAGTGGGAAGGAGAGGAGTAGAGGTCCGAAGAGAGAGAGGGAAGGGGAGTGGAAAGGGAGAAGACGACAGATAGGAAGAAACAGGAATGGAGATGGAAGTAGACTAAAGGAAAGAGAAGGATGAAGAGGGAGTGGAAGAGAGAGGTAGAGAGGGAGACAAACAGGAGAAGAGAGGGAAGGAGAGGGAATCAGACTGAAAGAGAGAGAGAGGTGGGGGGGACAGACAAAAGGAAAGAGGGACAAATGGAAAGAGAGAGAGAGAGAGAGAGAGAGAGAGAGAGAGAGAGAGAGAGAGAGTGTATGAGGGAAGTGTGAAAAGGAAAGAAGAGGAGGAAGTGAAAGGAAATGAAGGGAGAGAATAGGGATCACCTATGAGTAGACCCCAACCTAATTTTACCTCTAGAACCTAACTTAACTCTTTACTTAACCTATCCTTAACCTAACCTAACCTTAATCTAACTTAACCTAATCTAACCTAAGTTTGCGTAGTTACCATCTGACCATTGCATTAGATGGATGGGTGAGGGGTTTCTCCTTGTATTATGGTGGGATGTTATGAATGTATATAGGCAGTAATAGATCAAACAAGGGATTTAAGAAAGAAAGTGGGGGGAAAATAAAGCCAGTGGTCTTTATTGTGACGTTTATGGCCGTACAGCACCGTTAAGCCTTTAGAGAGATGCAGTTAATGGCCTCTAGATTCATAGACAGACAGACACACACAGACAGACACACACAGACAGACACTGAAAATTAGATATATATAATACATGATGACTTCCATACGTAGACACAGTGGTGGTAGTAACATGCATAGTTTAACATAATACCGTCCAGGCAACACGGGGAGGTGGTGGTGGTGATGAGAGGAGAACACAACTCACCATGATGATCCTCAAGGCCGCTGTGTACACCATCATGTGCACAATTTATCCTCGTGATTGTGAACATATTTTCCTACATGTGTTGACGTAGTGTACATTACCTCCTCCTTCCTTCCTCTCTCTCTCTCGCTTTTCCTCCTCCTCCTCCTCCTCCTCCTCCTGACTTTCTGTTCGTGACGTCGAATACCCCATCCCCCCCCTCCTCCCCCCCTCTCTCTCTCTCTCTCTCTCTCTCTCTCTCTCTCTCTCTCTCTCTCGCTCTCTCTCTCTCTCTCTCTCTCTCTCTCTCTCTCCTTCATAGTAACACCTAATATAATACATTTATCTCAAGGAATTACTATATAACATTAAGTATCATCAAGATTACATAGTTAAATAGTCAAAGTAAATACCTATTAGAATGCATATGAGACTGGTATGTGGGTTATATGGTCAGCGGCTAATAAAAATGCATTGGAGAGAGTCAGTCCGCCTCAGCTAGCATACACAAGGTAAGGAGATGGATGATGTGAAGCAGAAATGACGCAGATACACAGGAATATACGAGTAAAGAGCGGGTAAGCGGATAATGGGATAATTGTGTTCATTAAGTGGATAATGTCAAGTTGATCGAAGTGTGTAAGTGGTGGTGGGGGTGGTGTGTAAGTGGTGTGTAAGGGGTGGTGTGTAAGGGGTGGTGTGTAAGGGATGGTGTGTAAGTGGTGGTGGAGGGTGGTGTGTGAGTGGTGGTAGGGGGGTGGTGGTGGTGGTGTGTAAGGGGTGGTGTGTAAGTGGTGGTGGGGGGGTGGTGTGTAAGTGGTGGTAGGGGGTGGTGTGTGTGTAAGGGTGTGTGTAGGTAAGGGGTGGTGTGTAAGGGTGGTGTGTAAGGGGTGGTGTGTAAGGGGTGGTGTGTAAGGGGTGGTGTGTATGGGGTGGTGTGTAAGTGGTTCCTTCTCTACCTCTCTACCCTTTCCATCCCCTCTCCACCTCCACTCCACCCTCTCCAACCCCTCTCCACCTCCACTCCACCCTCTCCAACCCCTCTCCACCCTCTCCAACCCCTCTCCACCTCCTCCACCCTCCAACCCTCTCCACCTCCACTCCCACCCTTCCCAACCCCTCTCCACCCCCCCAGCCCTCTCCACTCCCAGCCCTCTCCCGCTCCCCCCCCTCCTCCACTCCCCCACCCCTCTCCAACACCTCTCGATGGCAGAGTTCTCGCTACCTTGTGTTACAGAATGATTGGTAGCATCTTGTGTATGTCAGAGAGCCCCCTTTTGTTTCGGCTGCCACACTTGGTTTAAATATATACGTTAGTGTTGGCGGAGGCGAAGAGGAGAGAGAAAAAAAAATGGACGTGATCTCCTGAAAGCTGACTGATGTAAAAAGTTTGTGAACTGTTCTTAATAACCCTGTTAGTTGAGGAACCCTGATAAAAAAAAAACACAACACAACTTTTAGGTTTATTTTTACTGTTTTGTGTCCAATGACGTCAGCGTTTATATTATAATTCCTTTTAGGGAAAAAATCTCTCTCTTGTAACTCTTCCGCATACATAAGTGTTACCCATGTCATTAGAAAGGTCTTGCATTGGGGAAAGTTTTGGTTGTGATAATGAAAGTTGGGAAAGTTGGAGACCTAACCTTATCTATCCTTAAGCTAACCTAACCGAACCGAACCTAAAGCTAACCTAAAGCTAACCTATTCAAAGAGGTATTTTAGTAAGAGGTGTTTTATTGGTGAGAGAAAGAGTACCGTAGACCTTGGTGAGGTAGACACATGACAGGCAAGGGTACCACTTAGACGAAAGGAGTACCACTTAGCCAAAAGGAGTACCACTTAAAGGACGGGTACCACTTAGTCGAAATGGGTACCACTTAAAGAACGGGTACCACTTAGACGAAAGGGGTACCACCTAAAGGACAGATAATGTTGACAGAAGATTAGGTACTGTACATAATATTCGCATCTTTGTTCCTGTCTTAGGCCTCATCTTATGGAACCATTACCTATCATCATCACTATCACACCTCTAACAACCATCCACCACCACTACAACTACTACATCCCACAACCACCCACCCCTACCACCCCTACCACAGTCACCCACCACCACTACACCTCAAAACCACCCCCTACAACCACCTTCCTGTAACCACCCACCACTACTACTACTACTGCTACTACACCCCACCACACTCACCCACCCACCCACCCACCCACCCACCCCTACCACCTCTACCACACAGGTAAACAACACTACACGCCCCCCCCCCAAATGATGAAGGATGAAGATGTTCCCAAGAGCTATAGAATCCAGTTTTTCGTGTCCCAGACCAAGTTGAAGGACACCAACTAGCATAAGGACACCGCCTACCATTATTTAGGACATGTGTCTCTAGTTTACAGCTGACTAGGTTCAAGGACATGTATTGATACTAGTATGGGATGGTAATACGTGTCTTGTATCTTATTATAGGGTCGGTATGGACACGTGTCTAAACTCTCTTAATAGCGGTATTAGTACACGTGTCTCGCATCTCAATATTTGGTATTTTAAGACACGCGTCAGTATATCCTGGTTGGGAATTATTCATTATTCTATGATATGTAAGTCTTGTGATAATTGTTACTTAGGCTATTTTCCGGTAAACGGTTATTTTACATCTAACGGGGGCTATTTTCCACCTAACGGGGCTATTTTTCATTTAACGGGGGCTATTTTCCATTAACGAGGGTAAGGGGGGGGAGGGTCATGTTTTTCCAATATTAATTAAAAGATTTATTTAACTCCTCGGTAGAATTTCCATTAAAAATAAACCAACGTAACACAACATTATTCTAACATAAACCAACCAATTGAAATATTAACTTACGAGAAATTTTCATTATTGTCGTTTTATATATTTCTTCTATTTCCCTTTTTTTTTCCAGAACGATCATGACGGGCTTAAAGAAACACAACCAACCACTTGTTTCCTTCTGTGTGTGTGTTAACTATTGGTGTTGATGTCCACATATGAGGTCTGAGGACATTAGACAGTGAAAAGGACACGTATAGTTAATTGAGGACACGGCGCGACTCGTCTGGATGAAGGACACGAAGCGGACATCAAATTGGTCCCTCAAGTAATTTTTTTTCACAGGTGAGTCTCCGCAACGTGTGTCTTCTTGGACAGGATTATGTACATTAGGCAGGTGTGTTGTTTGAGGTGACAAGTGTGTTATTGGAGGTGACAGGTGTGTTGTTGGAGGTGATAGGTTTGGCTCTCTCTCATGGCTCTCCGTTACGTGCTGTCATCCCCGAGTTGGTTCTGTCTGTGTATGTCGTGCTTGAATGCTTAAGGAGGACTTGTCACGCAAAAGACGAAGGAAAACACCACAAGAGGAACTGCTTTGTGTGGTAGAAAAAAAGCGTAATAAATTAAAAGTTATTCGGTAATAAAAAGACTCAATCATGTGTCAGGAAAATAAGAGGGATTCGTTGGGGAGGGGGGAGGGATTTGGCGGGAATTTGTTTTTATTTTTTAGGTAATAAAGTTTTCTCTTAAGGTGACTTGTGATAGCTTTCCTTCTTGAAATGTGTTTGATACAGAAGGAAACACTATAGTTGAGGCAAATTATAATTATGTCTAGTTAGGGGACAAGATCTGAACAAATCATCATACTATTATTATTATTATTTTATTTTTTTTTTACGGTTAAAGGTTTGGGAAGAAAAAATGGATCTTCAAATTAAAAACATCGATTTATTCTGACGCGGTATGTAAAGACGCATATATTCTCCCCAAGAAAAGTTTATCAGCCGCTGGTTCGGAGAGTATCGCGAACATCTTTTCACACAGCGAGAGACGGCAGTAGTAGCGCCGACGACTGAGCAACACCTCCATATCCTTGTTCCTCCTGGCTCGTCTATCACCGGCCAGAACCAATACTCGACCAGCTCACCCCCCAACCCCTTGCTATATGCCCCCTCCCCGCCCCTCCCCGCCCCTCCCGGAGTAAAGTAGAATAACAAGGTCCTTTCTGGGTCCCAAGGATACACGTATGCATTCCAAATTCAAGGACACCTGTCGACCCCAAGATCTCCACGGAAGTTACCCACACCGGTCCAGGTTCGAGGAAATACAGCCCGAGTAAAGAGAACCAATTCTTCATGGGTGTCCACCAGGTTAATGGACACAAGAAATGCTCTGAATAATAAACAAGTTTTCACATACCCTGTGAGGACACTTACCGACGGTAGTAGTGATGACTTCACCACCCGTCCAAGGCAGGTTTAAGGACGCGCCTCCAGTTCTTTGCCTGAAGGACACGCGTCAGTCGTATGTAGGGTACGCGTATCACGTGTCCAGTAGATGTTTTAGGTAATAGATGGATAAAAGTGAATATGTATATATATAACAGTGTGGCCTTACTGCCATCTCAGGTTCACCAAAAGTCGACCATAATTCACGCTTGAGGAAAACATTCATAAGAGAAACCCGCCTAATATAGTAGTCTCTGATGCTCTTATATCTCTCAAGACCAATTATTTTTCAAAACCTAATACCAGTGAGAATCAGATCCCCCTTAAAGACCGAGTCACTTGTTTAAATATGTAGTCTTGGATCACATGTCTTCACAATGAGCTAATTTATCCCCCGCCCCGAGAAATCTCACAGTAAACCACCCACTTTGACGTAACCTCTGATCCCACAGCTTACAGGATCTGATTCTCTTCCCGTGTTGAGGTGGCAGTAGCAACAACAGCAGCTTCCGCTTGTCTCTCGCCGCTCTTGTTATGCTTTACACTTACCGGATCATTCTCGTTTTGGTAACTGGTCAAGTGACTTTTGTTTTGCTGGACCCCGCTCACACCTCCACCCCATCCTCCTCCTCCTCCCTGCTGACGGGGTGGCAGAAGCAAGGCATCCGGGATATAACCAGGGCGAACTGGAGTGTTAAGAACTGTAGACCATCACGTTCTCTGTAGACTTTAGTGAGACTGGTTGGTAATAATTATAATAATAAGAAGAGGAAGAAGAAGAATTAATATCAACATCAATAACAATAAACAATATCATTTAACTTCCAAGAAATATTCTACGAAGAAGTTACATATCTGTTATCAGTTTCTCTTAACAGGAACATTATTATGTTTAGTGTTACGAGTTTATGAAAAATGGACGACTAACACACATACGGCTAAGATCAGGCTGTTCATTTATCAGCTGAACGATGAAGCAAGTAGACCAACACACACACACACACACACAAACACACACACACACACACACACACACACACACCAGAGTAATATTTCTTGCACTCTAAATTTTCACGGGTTTGGCGAGTCCATTCGTGGTAGTTCATTACGTCGCTGGAAATGATGTAACTTGTAGGAAAATTCTTAGGTAACGAAATTATATAACAAACTACAATAATTATAAATCCTTTCACTACATCACTTAATAACTGTCAATAGATAAATGACATTAATTTAGCATAGACAGTCGATGTATTGAACTGACTAACTGTAAAGGGATCCTAACCTAACCTTAACCTATAAACGAAAGTCCAAATTAGTTACACTCAGGGTCACTTCTTGTTATAATGTCAGGTGTTAGTTTTGTTCAGGTGACACACGTATTACTTCAATGTTAGTATTACATTTATGGTGTTTTGAGTGTTCAGGTGTGTGTGCTGATATTATTTACGAGCCAGGTGTTAAAGGTGTTCAGGTGTGTACTGTTATTAATTACGAGACAGGTGTTTTAGGTGTTCAGGTGTGTACTGTTATTAATTACTAGACAGGTGTTTTAGGTGTTCAGGTGTGTACTGTTATTAATTACTAGACAGGTGTTTTAGGTGTTCAGGTGTGTACTGTTATTAATTACTAGACAGGTGTTTTAGGTGTTCAGGTGTGTACAGTTATTAATTACGAGGTCAACCATTCCTACTCACTCACTTACTACTACTACTACTACTACTTTTTTTTTTAACGTGGCCTCAGCCTCCCCAATAGCCACACCTTCGCCACCATTTATTTATAATATTAAATATCTAATACATAATAAGCTATCTACTACTACTACTACTACTACTACTACTACTACTACTACTACTACTACTATCACCATTAACACTAGGTCTTTTCATCTGACACTTCCCCTAGACAGTGACCAATGTCTTCGTCATCTTTGTCACCTCCCCCATTGGTCTTCCTCACTCACTCCCTCCTGTCTACCCCCCTCCCCCCTCCCCCCTCTCTCCCTCCTCCACACATCCTCCCTCACCCACCCCTTCCTATTTACCCCCCACCACTCCCTTCCCGCCTGACTCTCCCACATTTTATTTTCCAAAGTCTCACACTCCCTCCTCTGTCTCCCTCCTCCTCCCCATCCCTTCCTACCTCCTCCCTCCCCTCATCCCTCCCTATATCCCTCCCTCCTTCTCTCCCTCCCCCCCTCCCTCCCTCTCCCTCTCTCTCCCTCTCTCCCACACTCTTTTCAATCAGTATGTAGATAAATAATCCAGGCTTGCCATGTCCGTATATAAGGACATATTACCTGTGTAGGGCATGGCCATTCATGTTTTGTTTTATTAACTAATCTTTGGCCTAATTAGCCAATTATTTATCTTGATGATGTGCATATTTATTCAAGTAATAATGGGGTAATTCTGACACACACACGCACACACACACACACACACACACACACACACACACACACACGGTTCTGTATCAGTACTGGTGGAGAGTATACAGTACAGTGTGTATTTCTGGTCTCTCCCTCTCTTTCTCTCTTTCTTCACGCCTTCTTGTTTGACGAGTTGCTTCTTCCCTTCCTCTTCTCTATCACTGTTCCATAGAAACGCAGCAAACAACACATCAATCCATCCTTTCCTTCCTTTGCTTTCCTTCCTTCCTTCCTTCCTTCCTTCCTTCCTTCCTTCCTTCCTCCCTCCTCTTCCTTCCTTCCTTCCTCCCTCCCTCCCCTTCCTTCCTTCTTCACCTGAAGATTGCCCCCCCAGCTTATTTCACCTTAAGATTAACCACCCAACCTAACCCAACCACAACCTAACCACATCCCAACCACAACCTAACCCAACCATCACCTAACCACAACCTAACCACAACCACAACCTAACCACAACCACAACCTAACCACAACCTAACCACAACCTAACCACAACCTAACCACAACCTAAAATTTCAACATTACAATAAAACGTTGACTTAGATTAGGAAAGTCTTTAAAACCCCATTACAAAATATCCCCATAGAATCATAAGCTATTTTGGTCAAACACAAAAGTCACATGAGTTGACCCTGACCGGGTGTGTAGAATGATGCCCAAGGGGAGGCCGGAGGGAGGGTTGAAATATGGGTTGGGTTGGGTCATAGGTCTATAGTTATTGGTAGGGTACGCATTAATGTAGGAAGAGTGTTGGTTCGAGGGAGTGGTTGTGGTGAAATGGGTGCTGGTGTCTGTGTGGAGTGTCTGTGTGTGGGTGTCTGTGTGTGGGTGTCTCTGTAGGTGTCTGTCTGTGGAGTATCTGTGTGTGGGTGTCTGTCTGTAGGTGTGTCTGTCTGTAGGTGTCTGTGTGTTTTTCTTTCTTTCTCTCTTCTTTTCTCTTTGTGTTTGCATCAAATTAACCTTAAGTGAAAAAAAAAACTTACGATGTTTAGTTGATGAAAAGTGGAAATAAATTGATTGAGGTAGAGAAAGTGTGTGTGTGTGGTGGGTGGGGGGGGGGAGAGATAGGAACGTGTGGGAGATAGGAACGTGATGACAGTATGAGAACGTGAAGTAGCTAGGAACGTGATGATGGCGTGAGAATGTTAAATATTACAGCTAAAAGTCAGAAAATACTAAAGTTATGAGCCACGAAAACAAGTGAATCATGTAGGAATGAATAGTTAATAAATATACTGTGTACATATCGCGAGAACCCGGGGGAAAAATTTTTGTCTATTCAGTTAGGTAGAAAGGAAGAGATGCACAGGAGCAGCCACTAAAAGGATTAAAGGAGGAGGAGGAGGAGAATGTGAGGAGGAGAAGAAGAGAAACACAAACTGGAGAATTTGTGTCAAAGCGTGATGGTTTATGCAAGACGCAGAGGACATATTGTAAAGGGGCAATTCACGGTAAAGATGGAT